ATTTTACTAAAATTTCCGCAGAGCCTACTACAGGCTACAGACACTTGCTATAATTAACATTTAACATACAATAAAATGCAATACAATACAAACAGCGCAATATCATGTGATTATTAAGCAAAACGCCATTAGATTTTCTCTACCTACTATTTACTATGCCAAAGGCAATCACAACATTCAAAAGATCTGAAATTGTGGTTTTAAACGTGTTTTTGATTTTTAAAAAAACAAAAAAAAAACCGTCTGACGCAATGGCGGTAAGTTATTGGTAAGGAAAAGCATCTTAAAAAACACTGAATTTATCATCATAAGTAACATTGAATAACCTTGCATATGCATCATCACATCAGTGCGCCAACGTTGATGATAAATATCTGAAATCTGAAACAACAATAACAATGAAATGAACCTACTATCAATCGTTGTCTTGGAAACGGCAAATGATTCATCAAAATTCCATTTAAAATCTTCAACGTCGATCTCAATCAAACAGTCGGAGAAAATCTTCCAAAATAGTTGCAGTTTGTAAGAGCGAATAAGATAAGTTTTCGAATGGCCAACTTGTGAAATAGATTAGAAACGATGAGCGAAGCAGCAACTAACCCCTGCTATTTGATGCTTCATTCAAGGCTATCTTGATTCAAGGTGGTAGAGGTGGAGAAAGTCACCGCAAGTGGACTCTTCCAAAATTACGTCAGGGATATTGTTGTTAGAATTCAAGCATGGAGTATGGCTTTCGTGATGGGATGAATCAATTCCACCTGCAGCGTCTGCGAACTACTTCAGTATGAGCTTTGATGTCAAGATTGTATTTTTCTTTTGTTTTAGAATAAAGACGTGCAAAAAAAACATTTGGTAGGAAAAATTGTTCAGCATGTAGTGCGAAAGTGGAGCCAATAAAGGTATTGTCACCCTCAGTTGGTGGTCGACGAGTATCGCGTCAATCAAATGCCTATCAAAAAAAATGATTGCGCAGCGGCCAAGATACCACTATCTTTTTGTTTAGCATCTAAGCATTGTAATACACGAGTACAGTATTATAGTGTATTAGACACAGTCGGCCTATTTCGATATTGTAATTCATTAGTAAACAAAATTCTTAAATATATATACAGTTCAAATATCTTGTGAAATTTTAATTAAATAAATTTACAAGATATGTACAATGTTGAGTATCTGAAACGGGTTTTTTTTGGCTTAGACCAAATTTTAAAAAAAATACTAGTTTCTCGTCCCCTCGCGCATCCTTTTTCTCTGCCTCACCATTTTTATTTTATTTTTTAAATTTCCTTTATTTTCATGAAATGTACGAAAATCTGGCTAACTCACATTATTATTATTATTATTAGTGAACTGCATCATTTGATCGTCGTGGTTGGGGATACAAATGCCTATGAATCATGTCTAGTGCTTCTTTTATTTGCTTTCAATGTGTCTACTTGGTAAATGTGAGAAAGTAGTAGGTGTTTCCCTTCAACCATCTGGATTTGCAGTAAAAAAAAAATGTGCCCTCATTCTCCCTTTTTCAAAATATTAGGACGAGAAACTACTTTTTTTTTAATTTACTTGGCCTTATACGGATGGTGTTATAACTTTTATTGGTTGCGGTTTAATCATAAACTATTAAATGATCCACTATACTGTCACTGTTGGTTGCCCATACTGGATGTAGAGAAAAACGTTTCAATTTCCATTTGACTACTTTTTTTTTCTTTAAAATTCCTTATTGTTTCTACTTCGACGAACCAGTTGAAACAACGCAAACAAACCTTGAAACTTTGAAAAAGACTGAACAGGCAATGTATACGATCGTTACAATTAATTAAAGGCATTGTTCGTATACAGGGAGGTGATAAAGTCTATAGCACTTCCCTGGTCCTACCAGTACTCCTCCCTGGATCTAATCTAATCTATTATTACCAGTCTGAATTGGTTTTAACCGATAACAAAGGCGATCCTGTAGCTTTTGCTTGATAGCATTTGTTCGCAGCCAAACTTTCAACTTGGAGAATTACTGTATTGTTTGAAGTGCTAGTCAAGCTACCCCAGCCCCACCCGAACTTAAACATTCTTTCATTCTTTTTATGATTGGTCAGAAGCGTTTACGAACAAGAAAAATACACCAAAACGAAAACCTCTAGATGGGGCTACAACAAAGTTTAATTAGAGTTGCGATATGAGACGCTGCTGGGTAGCCATTTTGGTGCCTTGCATGCATGAGTGACCACAAAGCCTAGGCTACAGTGTGGCGATTGCAAAAATAATAGGCAATTGAAAAAAATAAATAAAAATATTAATAAGAAAATTTTATATCATTTCATAGTAAATATCTGTTAATCAACAAAATTCCAAAAGAAATTGATTCTCAATATGCTATTATTAATTATTATATTACATGCAGTTTTTGCTTGACCAAAATTGCATAGCGCCTTAGCTAGGCGTACAAAATCGCGTTTGCTCGGCTCATAAAATAGTAGGCGACAGGGCCTAGGCCTTTGCACTGGGCAACTTAGAAATTAGTATAGTAAATGGGTGTTTGTGGCACGCCTCAGCTAGGGTCCCAGTCCGATGGTATCTCCAAAATAACTAGTAGTATATAATAAGAGAAATCCGTAAGTCATACGGTAACTGAAAAAGTACTACGCTACTTTTATAGCTATCTAGGCCTAGTATCTTGATATTACTACCTACCTACGTACTGTACTGCAGAGGCCTATTTTAATACACTATTTAGATAGGCTCTTCTTTTCCCATCTTGTGGCAGAGGTCGAAACATTTTTTTTTTCATTTCTTAAAACTTATATAGTGGTGTAGAATAGTCTTTTAAGAACATTTCAAGAAAAAAAAATAATGTGATACGATTCTTCGTTACGGAGTTATGGATTTTTAACTAACATGATTTCAATCATTTTGCCTCGAAGCTTATCTTATTTTTGTTGGCTACGCACCACTGACTTGATCAATGGGCACCAAGATGGCAGATAGAGAGCGGCCAGTAGTCACGTGACCTGAACTGCTCATGTCGCAATTTAATTGTTTGCATTAAAATAACGTAGAGGGCAGCAGACTAGTTTTAGTTTTAGTACAGTATTAGATGAAGCATCCAAAACGAATATTTTTTTTCATGCTGATATTGTTTGTTGACTTGTCTGAATAATTCAGTTGCTCTGTGTATTTCCTTAGAATTTTCCTTTACTAATTTCGGTACTGCCTCACCCGTACATCGGTGCCTTTTGGATAACATCTTGGGGGAAAAAATGGGAATATTATTAATTGTTTCTTTTTAACGCTGTTATGGTCTGAGAGTCGTTTTAAAGAACGATTGTGCCAGAATTTGTTTGTTTTCCCTTATTATCCGACAGAAGGGGGGGTGGGGGAAGGGGATTAAGCTCAAGCAAGCTCAGATGTTTCGAAGAATATGCTTAAATTTTAAAAGCTTTAAAGATTAATCCATTATAAATTAAATTGGATATGAATTCCCAATTATTAAAGGCTATGTTGTTTTTATTTCATCCACTTCTAAAAGTTATTCAACATTATAATGACATTATAATAATCCTTTAAAACTCAGAAATAAATAAATATATAAATAAATATTTGGTAAAATTAGGGCTATCAATCTTATTTGGTATTCAATATTATATAACAATTATGAAAATAGGAAAATATTGAACTTCAATTGTTTACAGAAATAGGCCTTTAAGTATAAACCTTCATTGTGCTTGTGAAACACGCCAGTGAGTGTTTTGTTATGACTGTTTACAAAGGTCTCTGAGTTGGTTTACCCATTTAATATGTTACAACCCATTGTTAATGTATAAAGAATACTAAAATACATATTAATTAATATGAAATAATGTTTACTATCTAAGTAAAAAACTTGTCAAAATGAAAATTGGCAAAATATGAATTATAATTAATAATGACATTATAAACTATATTTATATATTAACATATATGATGAAGCATTGGAAAATTACCCGCCACCAATTTGAAAAACGTAGGCCTAACATGTGACCAATAATGACTTAATTTGCATTACATTATTATGATAAGTTATTAATTTAAAACAACACTAAAAACACAGTGTACGAATGAGCTGAGCGAATCGGCATGCGCTATAGAAATGGAATGGCTCTCTGGTAGGGCCTCAGTTATAGAATATGATTTAAACAGTGACCTAATGGTAATGTTCAAAATAAAAGAGTCAATGAAAGTATGATTGTTGGAAAAATGGTCAACATTTTATTTTTATTTCTCAACCTGGATCCGTGCCTGCATGGTGTTTTCGACGAACCCGGGTGTGGGGTGTGAAGCCCAGATAAAATCCACGTTTTTGAGCATTAATTTTCTTAAAGCCAGTCTTTGGAGTAGGAAAAAATTAATAGGCCTATGTTGTACAACTGATTTTTCTAAAGACACAAAGCATATTTGACGAAAAACTCGGGGACGGTTCTGTATCTCAGTAGGCCTAACCGTCGCCGAGTTATTCGTCAAATATGCTTTTTGTGTCTTAGAAAAAATCAGGGAGATTTTGTAGTTACTATAACAACTCCTTGGAAAAAATCAGTGTACAATCCATATCAAAAAATGTTTTTCCCCCAGAGCCTGACCAAGACACTTGTTTATAAAGCAGTGGTACACCTCCAAGAAAAACTGCCTTTTATGTTATTATAACTTTTTTAAGGTCTAGGCCAATGTAAAATAGGCCCTAATACAGGCCTGCCGATACTATAGACATTTGCATACACAGAATATTCATCATGCAATCAGTCACCATCATTCAAAATTTAGACTGGCAGATTCTCATCACGACTTGAACCAAATAAATTCACAGATTATAAAGGGTAATAACAATGACGATAATCGAATTATTATTACTAATACCAGTTATAATATGAAACTAATCGATAGTATTAATAGGGCTAAATACAAAATAAATAAAATGAAACGTAAGTTTTACAGGCCTTCTTCATACACCTCCTAATATGGTGTTTTCATCTCCTTTGTTTTCTATGTATGTCCGTCTATCCATTTAAAACGGCCCCTGTTGTTTATAATAGAAAATTTCATTAAATAATTCAGGGAGATTATGAGATGCTAAATTAAAGTTTCTTTATGTGTATCGTCTTTATTTGATAATTAATTAGTACACTCAAGTCTCATGCTACTAAATTTAGCAATGGATAAATTCTTGATCAAATCACGTGTCTGTTGAATATTCATGAAGCGTACTCCCGCCTTTCACCCCATACGTACAAACAGGAAGGTAGATATTGAGGTTGATCCAAGATGGCGTCCGAAGATGAAATAAGCAATACCGACACTGATTTGTCCATGGAACACATTGAGGTGGAACATATTCCAGTTGAACACATAATAGAAACCGTTCATGATGATAATATTGTAACTATTCCAGTTGATCAATTAGAAAATGTTGCCACGGTTGAAACTGTAGAGACGATTGAAGTCGGAGACGGACCGTCAATGATCGCTTTGCAACCACTTGCCGATGATGATCGAGAAGAAATTATTTTACAAACTAGGGAAGAAATTGTCGGTGGTGATATTGACGATTATGGTGCAGCATATATAATTGATACTGTACCTGTCCCTGCTGCCGACGTTGACGTATTTTCAGAAGGACCAAGTAAAAAAGGCAATAAACGCAGTGGAAAAGGACGCTCGCGAAAAGTTCTTGGGAGCGGAGAGCTAAATTTTGATACTGACAAAGGGACTCGAAAATGGGAGCAAAAGCAAGTACAGATAAAGACTTTGGAGGGAGAGTTTTCTGTAACAATGTGGGCATCAGGTAGATACATTTGGGGATTTTTTTTTGTAATAAGAAAAATGTAAAACAGTAAAAACTCGACTGGCTGTTGTATATATTTTCACACAGTAAACGTCACTTAAAATGTTTGCTTCGCACACTGGCTGTAGAAGCAACGCATACAATTTCATTGATATTATTCGATAAATCATGGAAAGTTACACAACTTTCCACGACTTTTTAAAACATTAACTATATAATAACGAAGTAAATCGCATTAGATTTTCATAGAGTAAAGTTTAGGCTACGTTTCGGCCATTTTTTTCGCCATGTTTTTTTTCCATGGGCGCAGCCATGATTGAAGATGGCGAACAAAAATGGCGATGTGTTCTCGACGCGGTCGACATAGGCGCTGAATCTAAATGAATTTAATGGAAAATATCGTGAATTGAAGTTTCATAATTTGCTATTAGATATTTCTTCATAAAGGTGAGCTGCCCGAAAGGTGCGTTAGAGTTGAATTGAAAGGCTGGCTTTTTGTAAAATATTTCAAAAACCTTTTACTATTTGAAGTCCAAAAATTCAAAATGGCGGACGCTGAAAACGACATAGCTAGCTATCCAGCTAGCTTCCGGCCTTTTAGCTAAATGCAAATAAGATTGGGTGTCGTTTTGTTAAACAGCCAATAGCAGCGTTTGAACTACAATTCGTCTTTTCGTAAGTCAAGTATCGAAAACTAAATGATCTCAACCTCTAAATATGATTATGTTAAAAACTAAAATTTTAGGCTTAGATTTTATTATTAACATAAAAACTTGATTGCTTTTTAACATCAAGTTAGATTTTTTTTTTTTTACTTTTGCTGTGAATTTTCCATGATACTTTGGTGATGGCTTTGTTCACTGTACCAAGTTATATCCATCTCGGAGTACAAAATAAACCAATCAAATACAAAAAAAGGAAGAAAAGTATTAAATAAATATGAGGAGCCTAGATCCAGGTCAAAACTTGTACATTAATAATGTGAAATATCAAAAAGCAAATAATGTACATGAGATGATTGAAATTCAGATTTTTTTTATCAATAGTAAAATATATATTACCACAAAACAAGATAGACTTTAAGTATTCAGTAAAAGTAATTAGGATTGTGAATTTATATTTGTGGTCCAGTGGTTGTTGTGCCCTCTTCATTTATTACTCTGCATGACTTTCATTAATCATGTTTTTTCAATAAATTAAGTTTGTCTTCCAGAATCAAGCCCAAGAAACCAAAAGATGATGACATCCCACGAACAATAGCCTGCCCTCACAAGGTTTGTTTCATATGAATTATATTTGAAGCTAAGCTTCATTCTGAGACTAAAGGTCTGTCCATACTATTAAGTCTTATGTGACAAACACTTGTGGTTTACATCATGCCCATATAAGGGCAATTTACCGAAATTTGTCGCATTAAACCTCACAGTGTGAACAGTCTTGATTCATAGACAGTTTGTCACCTTTAAACACCCCTGTTAGTATTAAGGTATTAATAAACATCACCCAATTGCGTACCCCTCCATCTGAACAGAGTCCGTAAAAATGAGAAAATTTGTTAGAGAGTTTGAATTTTTATAGCATCTCAGAGTAGTGATGATAGGCCTATGCTACAAATTACAGAGCTAGTTAGGCCAAAGCCTTGCCTTGGGAGCAAATTTAATGTTTTCTGCAACAAAATAATACATTACAGGAGCCAAAATTACCTGTGCTCACTTTGAAGCATTCATTTGAAGGGATTTCCAAATGAAAACATGACCATGGCCAAAACGAGTGTCATTTTCTTCAAAAAGATTGCGAATCCATGCGAATAGCGCCCCCAATAGAAAAAAGTGAGATATACTGTAGGCTACAGCATGCACTGCTCAAAATTTATGTAATATATCGGCTGAAAATGATTGATATTTCTTGGTTTAAACTCAGTTTTATATCATTTTATTGGTTTATGTCTTTTTCTTAGCTGATGTAATAATTTATATTATTTTTGAAGACTTAAATGCAATTTTAAGTGTTTTTGTAATTAAAAATGATCATTCGTAATGACGTCATCGCCGCAAATTGGGTTTTTAAAATTGAGAGTTCGTAAATGGGAGGTTCATAATTGGGAGATGTTACTGTACATTCTTCTAGCTGCAATACTGCAGCCAACCCCTATTCAGGGGACATCTCTGTTAAAGTTATATTTGGTCCCAAAAAGTGTCTTTTCTTGTTAATAAGAGCTGTTTGCTGTAGGTCAACAATTAAGTACTGTGCATGTTTTTTTCTTTTATGTTGATTAGTTTACATGCCTATAAATTTTTCATTTTGCAAACTTGTGTTACAGGGTTGTTCTAAAATGTTTCGTGATAATTCTGCGATGCGAAAACATCTTCACACTCACGGCCCAAGGGTGCATGTATGCGCAGAATGTGGAAAGGCGTTTGTTGAGAGCTCAAAGTTAAAGCGCCACCAGTTAGTTCACACTGGGGAGAAACCATTTCAAGTAGGTGTCAACTATTTGATTTCATAAACAAACATTTAAATATAAATACAACATATAAACAAACATATAAATACTATAGGGATTATTATTTCAAAATGCTCAATCAAATTTTGGGGATAACATTTTAAAAATAATTACACAGCGGTTTGGCGCAGCGGGAACGGTTTGGTTTCCCAACCTCGAGGTTGGGGTTTCAATCCCCCGCTGTGCATTTCACTTGTGTCCTTGAGCAAGACACTTTATCTGCATTGCTTCTCTTCATCCAGAAGCCAGGAGAATAAATGGGAACCTGGTGGGGTTGCCTGCTCCTGCGCTGACTACCAGCAACAATACTTAGCATGTGGACCCAATGACCAGGGAAAAGAACTACAGCGCTTCGTAACTGAAAAGAAAGGTGCTATACAAGTAACAAGTAACACAGCACTTATCATTGTTGTACTTTTCTCTTTTTTTTTGCAGTGTACGTTCGAAGGATGCGGCAAGCGGTTTTCACTCGACTTCAATTTACGTACACACGTGAGAATTCACACGGGTGATCGTCCATATGTTTGTCCATTTGATGGTTGCAACAAGAAATTTGCACAGTCCACCAATTTGAAATCCCACATATTAACACATGCCAAAGCAAAACAGCAAGCGCAGCAACAGACACAGATCCCTCAACAGACTCAACACCAATTTGTCCTGCAAATGTAAACACTTGGTGGCAGCATACTCAAATGAACTTCTCTTAAATACACGCCGCATCTGGTGTTTACCGCAGTGCACAAATGGTAAAAATTGGAAATCTAGAAACATCATTATTGTATTAATACAAATAATAAAATAAACTTGGTTATTCTCACAGTGAGACTATTAAGTACATACGCAATGCACAACAATTCTTGTTGGGTAATAAATATTGGTAAAAAAAAGTAGTACTCCAAAAGCATTATATCTCCCTGTATTGTGGTAAACAATGTAAGAGGTAAAAGAATAAAGTGCTAGTTATTCTGATGTTAGAACAAGGCTCAATTATGTTGTACATTATTTTATGTATAGTTCATATTCCTGGCATGGACTCTAATATAAAACAGAAATTCAGTGGTTGTGTTGTAAATGAAATGGTGAAAAAATAATTGAGCAGAAACTTGTAAATAGCCCAAAAAATTAATAGTAAATTTGTGAAAATGGATAAACATATTATTTTAACTTTCATTTCATGATCTGTACAGATTATGATGTTTATGATGTATATTAATGTATCATAATTAATGTATCATAAGAAACAATTGTTTTGTTTAACATGATAGTTAAGGAAGGTTTTACACACATCTTGATTGGTTAAATTGGTAGAGTGGTATTTTCATTGGTCTTAAGTTGGTAGTCTTAAGCCCTTTCCAGATGATCAAATTTTATTTGACAAAAACATGTGACATGCCTAAATATGGTCATGATGACATCACATGACCATATATAGGCACATCATGACTAAATATGGCATATAGCTGTTTGATAATCTGGATAGAGCTTTAGCAGAAACATGTGCCTTAATTTTAATAATTATTCCAATGTGATCATATAACTTACTCAAAACATTCATTTTTCATTTGCAGCATCTAAAAGGCTGCCTTGCAACCAATAACATGGATGGAAAGATAAGGATAAGTGCATTTCCAAGGAGGATTAATTACATTTGTCTTAATGAATTTTCAATGTACAATCAGGAAACAATGTAAATTTCTGTAATTTTAGACCGAAACAATACAAATTTACTTGCTTGTTTGTTGATGGTTGGGTAAAAAGGATTGGATTTAAACATGAGAGACAATAGTGAACTATAGTTAACCTCAGTTGAGTAAGGGGCTTACAATAGGATCTCTTCTATGATTAAGTGGGTCTTAAACTCTAGAATGACAGAGTTAACATGATGAATTATTAATCCCAGATGAGAACCTTAGCAGAATACTGCCCTCTACAATTAGATATTAACATATCAAGTGCAAACTACAAATTTACTTCATGTTACATGGGTGTAACTAACTACAAGGTGTAACACCATTATGATAGACCCTAAGCCATTCAATATACTGTACTGTAATCTATTCTGCTAACAGTGTTTGTAAGATCTATTTATTTATGTTATGTTCCTGTTAATCTTCTATAGTTTGCACAAAATGTCTGACATCATAATCCATACCTGGATTGGTAAGGTGATGTAAGCCATTTATTTTTAATTACTGTACTCTAAAGTGACATTATAATATAACGCTCTTTACCACCTATCAACACTATACCAAATTATAGGTACTGTACTGGGTATTACTGGTATAATAAAGTTTATATGTTACTACAAAGGTGAATGTGGTCCACAGGGAGGGGGAGGGAAAGGGTGTATGCTCATATATTCCAGAGTACATACATTTTACTATGTAGCATGCTCTGCCCTTTTCTGCTTAGTTTGGTATTTAATCAATAATAATTTATAAAGAAGTTGATCACGAGCAAGGCAAAAACCAAACAAGTGTATAAATGATTAATTACAGCACTAGTAATTAATTGAACAACTTTCATATGAGAGTTATGCGGGATAAGGGACAATGTATCTGTTACATGTCGGTACTGGGTCTGTACTGCGGCTGCAACAGGTCCCCAATGGCCCCGTCAAAATATCCAATTTCAAATACTTGTATTTGAAAAAAAAAAAAAACCGTAATTAAATTTTTACTCTTTTATTTATGTCATGTTCAATACAGTTGCCTACAATCATCATTGTGAATTATGTTATAGTCCGTTAATTTATGGTGCATCATATGCGCTAGTTAAGATACCAAGGTCAGTGCAAGCAAATTCTTGGGTAGATTAGCATATTGTCTTGTCAAATTGTCCCCCTTTTTTCATAATTTGTGTTTGTGAATATAATTTTCTAAAAATACGTCTTAATTTTAACTAAATAGTAATTCACATCAACAATTTATTGTTATGAAAATAAAGTTGGAAGCAAAAAATAAACAAAATTGAAAATATTTTTTTGTACAAACTTGTCTTTAATTGTTATCAACTCGTTTTTTTTGTTTTTTGAAAACTATATTGACCTTCATGTGATTTTTATTGTAGCAATTCACACAACAAAATATGTTACACGTCCCCTGCTAGGCAAAATTTAGCAGTGGTCCCTGCCAAGTTGTGTCCGTGTGAATTGGCGCACATGCCATGTAATATCTACTGTATTAGAAAAACCGAATTCGTAGGCCTATTTTAAATCAATGTAGGTCTATTGCGAAAAGATAACTTGTTCAAAATTCAGTTTCCTAGAAGTGCCATAACTACATACTGTAAATTTAATTGCTTATTCCTACATTAATGCATAAAGTGCAAGGAACATGAATACCATACATAATGATACAATGAATAACAGTGACTGTATATTTACACAACGTGCAGGGTATTGTGTAATATCATGGAGGAATAAATAATATACTTATTCCTCCATGGTAATATAAACAACTGCAATTAAATAAACAAGATGCAATATTGCATATGCATTATATTTAGAAATAGGCCTACAAATCAATAAATGCCGTAGAATTTTGAGCTGCCTGAAGCATTAATAAATACTTTATTATTCTCTAGATGAAGTGTAATAATCAGTATTTTATAAGCCCTATAATAAAAAGTATGGCTTCTTTAGAGGATTTTTTTCCTATTAAAATATGGATATGAAATAAATAATGTGCTTTAAGATATGAGAGAAGCAAATTGCCATTACTAACACTGCACAATAAATTTTGATAAATGAATCGCATATTTTTATGTCAGGGAATAACAGGTGGAGAAATCTGCTCCAGGCTTATGTCTTACTGGTGTCTTATTAATTAGAGCATTACATTTAAAAGAACATTTGACCTCAGTACGAGGTCACAGATAGATAGTACAGTACTAATATGTTTGTTATGTTATAAAACAACTTCTCATGATTCTCAAGGACAGCACTCCACAAAAGCGCTTACCTCCTAATTATAATATAAAGGATTTTACTTATGGCCAAATTCCACTTTGCACATATGAGCATTAGACACTGGTTGAAGACCTACAAAAATAAATGAATGATTGTGAAATAAAAATACAGTTGAAGTCAAATCCAAAATGCCATTGAAATATTGTTCAACTTAGATAAAAATATGTTTTAGGTTTACAAGGTATACTTGAAAATGATAATGTAGCCTATAATAATGTAAGTAATAAATTAGGTTTAATATTTTCTAATACTAACATTATTGACAGTTCGCAAAATTGGTCTATACTATATACGATACGAGATACGAGAAGCTTTATTGCAATTTTTTATCATAAAAAAAAAAAAAGTTTAACAATAGGCTAAGAAAACACACATACACACACACATACAAATATTGAATCCCAACACGATGGCGTGTATTTCAATACTTGGAGTATGTATTATACTTTCTTATCTGAGATTAATCAGTGGACCTTTCGGTTTTCACACACATACTATTGTTTAAAGAAGCGTTTGCTATACATAGGCTACACCCATTGCTTAACAATGGGCTGAAAGCTTCAAAGGAGCTTTTCTTTGTTTTTGTTGGTAGCTTTGATCAGGGTAAGAATGCTTTGATCTTTAGTTTAATCATAACTATGTCACCTACTAGGGGTAATGCTTTGATTGGTCAAACACTTTTGGTACTTGTACATATAAGCTTGCAAATATGGATAATTTTTCATTCCCGATGATGACATAATTAATGTTGAAATATTGAATCAAGACATGATGGCATGCATTTCGATACTTGGAGTATGTATTATACTATCTTAGATAAAATTTGACGTACAGATTGTTAATTAATGAAAAACACAAAAATTTGGCATGTAAAATAAGATCGACTTAGAAGTTATTCAACTTCGGCAAGTTTAACTTGATTACTTGATTTCATTTTGTTGCAGTTGTTGGCTCTCAATCAACCACAAACTTATATGGAGTTTTGCTGCACCTGTCATAGCAACAGTTTTCGTAAGTATTTCATTATTGTGTTGAACGCTTGTGGTACACCACGTAGATAGTTCTAAAAACAAGTTTATGAAACAAGTTACATTGAAGAACATTTCTACAAAATATGAATCACTTAATCTAACTGAAAAGAATCTTAAAATTATTTAAAAAAATACAAATCCTAATATTAAACTATTGATTTGGTATCTTTGGAATCTGTTTTCTCAAAACCTACATGGCTGATATCCAATCAATTTTATATTCATAACTTTGCTATTACCCAACCAATCTCCATCAATCTAAACATAATTTTAAAGAGGAAAACATGCAGAGTTTTTAAATACCAAAAACTCCATTTTTTTTAACCGCCCCACCCCCACAAACACATATTATTCTAACATTAATTCTGCAGATTATGATTAGTCATTCATCAATTAAAATAGACAAAAATAATAATAAAAACTAGTGTAAATTATATTTAACTAATAGTTAAAGCTTCAAATTCAATGTTGTACCTTTTGAAAGTTTTTTAGAAAAATGCGATTGCTTTGTGTTACTTTTAAATTTATATTTATATATTTTTGTGGCAAGTCTAGTTTACCAGGAGCACACACCACCAGTTTTAACCAACTGTGTTGTGCTCTCTAGGATAACCATATGGATGATAAACTCTGGTTTTAAATTTAGAAGACATTAACACTTTTTTTCCTGAAGCATCTGTCATCCATCGTCGGTATCTTGCACAATGTAGAAACCTAATGCTCCCAGTCACTCTGCCTTAAAGCACATTTTCTGTCTTATTTTCTAGGTCAAAGCGATCACATCAGTAATATTAGTGTCCCAATCATGCTGTCTTCTGAGTTTAAAATAAAAACAATTTTGGTATTGTTGAAATGCAAGATACATTAATTGCTTAACTTGCATCTTTAGCTACAGCTCCCTCTGGAGGATTGGAATGCTATAATTAGTTAATTAGCTAAATTAAATAAATATTTAAAGGTTGATATTTTCAAACAAAGACCATGAGGCAGTGTAGTTCACCCCAGGTTAAATTTAGAAACAAGAAATAAAAACATGCACTGGGGAAAAATGAGGGTGGGGGGGCATATTTGGTCACAGAAAAAATGTGTACTCACTTGATGACTTCCTGTATTCATTGAATACACAAACAAAACTGAGTTTATGTTTGTTAGTAAAAAAGCTTTCAGAGCTTTCAAAAAATTGCAAGTAAAGGTCTGCTCAAACTGTATTTTCTCAATTATTTTGTCTACATTGTTTTTCATAGCACTGGTAACATAGTCTTGTAAAAAAACAATACCGCATCATGTGGTGCCTATCTAGGCCTATACATATTAGCCAAGCCCTATTCTATTACTACTATGACTTATGAGACAAGCTTCCATGTTAGGTAAAGTTATAATAATTAAATAATAGCAACAACTGAATAAGTCTGAGTCTGTATTTAACTAGTTGGATTCCCCATACTCATTATTGTAAGTTATGTAATAGCTTCCATAATTTAATATACAATTCATATAGTACAAAAAAAAATTAATGAGCCCACTGTTTTAAATTAATATATAAATAATAATTGTTTTGATGTGAGTTTGCATTCTTTTGCCCTACCTGACATAATTATTGTACCAAATATTCAGTATGTTCCCAAATACTTTCGAAGAAAATTCACAAGTTATTCGGTTGGGAATGAAAACCACAACCTCCAGCTAACTAGTCTAGTGCGATAACCACTAGATTAACGAGTTTGAGCTTAATGACTTGTGTTGAATCCAATCCCCAAGTTGCATCGGGTACTGCAATTGTTCCAACAAATGTTAATTTAAAAGTTTTTCCTGGTCTCTATGATCAATTGTATTTTTTTTGGTCATTTAAACAGTAATATAGATAATACGTAATGGTGCTTTCTAATTTTTTGTACTGAATTTTTATTAATATTTAGTTAATTTCGCTAAAATAATTTAATAAACAATTCAATTTTAACAATTTTAATATATAAATAATGATTTTTGTAACATGCACTATACACTCTAGTCTATTATTACTATGTTAATAGTTTACAAAATATTAGTATTTGGTTAATTTCACTACCATAATTTAATATACAATTCATACAGTTAAAAAAAAAAGCAAAGGTCATGAAGTTTTAACTTGATATATAAATAATAATTTTTGTTAGCATGTACTATACACTCTAGTTTATTATTACTATGTTAACATTTTACAAAATATTAGTTGGAGGATACCAATACCACAGCCTTTATTATGTTATCCCTTAAGATGAATATGACATGAATACTGCGGTGGCTTCTTTTGAGGAATCGTACGATTAAATAAGCATGAATCCCTTAGGGTGTACAGTAGGTTGAAAACACATTTGTGGTTCATATATTATATATGGGCAAGTAAATGTCAGCGTAGTCTTACTGAATACATCACTGAATAATAGAAACATCCAGGATTTGTAGAGTACTTCAATTTTTGTTAATCATGGAATAAATTTCTATATTCCATTAGTTTACTCAATTTATCAATATCATGGCAGGGGCAGATCCTGAAATTTTCTGAAGGGGGTGGGGGAAATAGGCCAAGCCATGGTGGGGCTGAGGTGAGCAAATTTTAAGAATATGCCTCTCTAGATGCTCGGTAATGGCACTCTCAGATGGTAGAAATGCTTTTTCAAAGCAGTCTCCTCGACAAAATTATTGACTTTTTCCGACGGCAGATCTGCTCCCCCTCCTTTAGATACCCCTTCCCTCACAGGCGTCACAAATGACTAATTATAGACCTATAGTCTATTCATGGAGGAAATATATTAATTTTATACTGGAAGTCGCAAAGCAAATTATGATTATGGCACCTCAGATGCCCAGAAATGGCACTCATTGAGAGTTCAAATTTGAATATCTTATCTCCAATTTTTTTTTTATTTTGCCAAATGTAGGGGGTTCTGGTCGGCTGGGCACCCCATCCCCACTGGATTAATATGATATATGTCCTATATATAATGACAGACATATTATGCTGTTATGTATAAAGAAAGCTCTTTTAGATCAGAGTGCTATGATAGAGCAAGGATCCTATGGGTAGGGTCACCCCATGGACCCCTAACTGGGGTCGGGTGGTATTTTCAAATAAAAATCATGATGCAATGTAGAGATGTGTATAAGAGACAGAAATAAGCATGAATCCCTTAGGGTGTACAGTAGGTTGAAAACACATTTGTGGTTCATATATTATATATGGGCAAGTAAATGTCAGCGTAGTCTTACTGAATACATCACTGAATAATAGAAACATCCAGGATTTGTAGAGTACTTCAATTTTTGTTAATCATGGAATAAATTTCTATATTCCATTAGTTAATAAGTGAGGGGGACAAATTGCAAAATAAAGGGAAGTCTTGGACCGTAGGCCCAAGCCTTGTCGGGGATCGGGGGCAGCCCAGGGCCCTCACCGAGGGGCCTTAGGCGAAGTCCCCGTAAGCTTTGGTGTCTTTTATAAGTCGTATCTAATTAATTTTAAGGTATGTAATTAAAATTTATTTCCACACTACATTTTCAAAATACAGTGGTAGGTCCAGAAATTCCAAATAGAGGGGGCCCAGGGAGAGACTTTTATAGATGGAGTGTAGACCACCTGAGTCATACCATGGTTGGAGCTAAGATAAGAAAATTTATGATTATGGCATCTCTAGTTGGCCGGAAATGGTACTCCCAGACTGTAGGCCTACTTGAATATAATTTTCTGTTTTCTCCACTTTTAAATTTTGAAAAAACTAGGGAGGGTGGGCCGGGTGGTCCCCATTGAATCTGCCAGTGAAATACTCATCATATTATTTTTTTTTCCAATCAATTTATCCTAGTACTCATAATCATGCCCGCTTACATACTTCATTCAGACTAACATTCATAAAAATAATGATCTATTATCTACTGACATTCGAAACATGGAAAACAAATGATAAATCATGTTCCACTCCAATTCTATCTTAGCATGTACAGTATTTTAAAAATCAATCGAGAGCTTTTTCCTTTTCTCCACTTTTTGAATTTCACTTTTGTGCGAGTAGTAAAGCGACTACACTACTGTGAGTGGAAATACTACCGTCTAACTTCTAACGATCGAAATAAAAAATAGAAATAGGTCGAACACACCTATATCAGCCCCACCATAGCTTGGGGCTGAGGTGAGCAAATTATAAGAAAATGCCTCTCTAGATGCGCGGTAATGGCACTCTTAGATGGTAGAAATGCTTTTTCAAAGCAGTCTTCTCGACAAAATTATAGACTTTTTCCGACGGCAGATCTGCTCCTCCTCATAAAACACCCCTTCCCTCACGGGCGTCGCAAATGACTGATTATGGACCTATAGTCTATTCATGGAGGAAATATATTAATTTTATACTGGAAGTCGCAAAGCAAATTATGATTATGACACCTCAGATGCCCAGAAATGGCACTCATTTGAGTGTTCAAATTTGAATTTTTTATCTCCAATTCTTTTTTAATTTTGCCAAATGTAGGGGGTTCTGGTCGGCTGTGCACCCCATCCCCACTGGATTAATATGATATATGTCCTATATATAATGACAGACATATTATGCTGTTATGTATAAAGAAAGCTCTTTTAGATCAGAGTGCTATGATAGAGCAAGGATCCTATGGGTAGGGTCACCCCATGGACCCCTAACTGGGGTCGGGTGGTATTTTCAAATAAAAATCATGATGCAATGTAGTTCACTTGGGTTAAATTTAATGTGTTTTAATTGAATTTACATGTACGTATATTTAAAAAATATGTTTGATTTATAAGCTAATATCAAGTACATTTTGTAACTACTGTAGGTCTACTACCAAATAGTAACAAATTATCCACTTGGTGGGAAAAAAAATGTAACCAACAAACTTGAAGAATAGAACCTTCAATTTTGGAGGGAAGAAGTTACACCAAGAAAAAAAGACAATATATTTTTTAATACAGAATACAAAAAAAGTTAGGAAAAAATATATACCTTTCAAATATATACTTTTGAAACTGCAAAATGGAGTTTTGAAAAAGAAAGATTCCACATATAAAAACTTAATTTTGAAAAAAAATAAATATTGTTCGAAATATGGAGATTTTTATTTACGCAAGACATGTGAAGGGCAAGATGAAATTCAAATAATTTTGTTCAAAAACGCACTATTGTAAATTAATTCTAAAAAAATTAAACTTAAATTCACTACGTTTTTTTAAAATATTTATTTTGTATATGTTTCACAATAAATAAAAATTTGTATTTGTAATAATTGTAGTTGTACAGTATTTGAATATATTTTCAGCAAGAAAAAGGTAATTGTACACTTTCATTACAGTTCCAATCATATCTTTCATAAAATCTATTATCTATCATGGTTTTCCAATAATAATAATGTAATAGTCATTGTTAAAATAATAAATGACAAGTATTGTATAGGTAAATAACTATAACAATAAATCTTACAAACAGAGGAGTATTAATATAAATGAAGCTCAATCAAAGCATAAGGCCCTTCAAAAAAAAAAAATTAGCTTATCACCATATCTACGCCGGAAAAGCCAAATATCACCGTTGGGTTGTTTGCTGGTGCATTGATAAAACATGATTGAGATATTTATACAAACAATATCTACTAACTATTTACTAAAAAAATTGAAAAATAAAATCCCCCTACCAAAAAAAAAAAAATAAATAAATAAATACATTTTTTTAAAAATATTTTTTCTTTTGTCAATACCATAGATAAAGATAATAAAGTTCATTCGTATTTCGTAGGTGATAAACTAATGCATATTTTTTTTATTGGGCCTAATGTATAAGTAAAGAGTATAAAACTGCAAGAGGTCCGACTTCTGGAGATTCGTTGGAATGCAAAAAGTACTTCCACGAAGGGGCGTGGCCTTTAAAAGATTCAAACAACGTGTACGAGTTTCTAAATTTCTGAAGGGCTCCCCCTATTTCGTGGCAGTACTTCTAGCGTTCCATTGCCTGCATACCTTGCTGCATAGAAAATCAGGGTAGTCGGACCTCTTGCAGTTTATACTCTTTGGTATAAATAAAGCTGCATTTCTACTCAGAATGTATAATGGAATTGGATTCCTGGCCACATATTCCTAAATGCGTGACTTGCAGAACCGATGGTTATTAGCAAAAATGTTAATGTGGATGTAAAATACTGGAATCTTTTAGGTTTAAAATAACTGGAAAAAAGATTTGAATTTGAAAACGGTTTGGAATGTCGAATAATGTAATGCTGCCTTGCGCGTGAAGTGTCTATAAAAAAGTCTTGCCATTTGCTTTACGTTTTAAAGGACGCCACCAAGCAGAAATATTACCTAGTTGCACGCATTTAAACAAAACTCTCCAATATGTCTTTATGTTATTACCCACTTCCTACCGCTCCCATGTTTTTTGCAGTTGTGGCCCTGTTAGCACCGTCTGCGCTATATTGTGGTCATAATATCCTGGCAAAGGTCCAAATTAACCCCAGCCCCACTGCGTTAAGAATAGGCACCAAAATAATTGTATTTTTCCCTCTGTGGGCACTGCTTCTGATTCAAAAATACAAAATAGTAACTTAAGGTACAGGTTTCAGTATACTCAACACCTTGTATAAGAAAAATACTCTCATTCATGGTAGCAAACGTGAGCATTAGTGAATTGATTGTGGCATGGTCAAGTTTCTATAGAAACAGATTAAAATGTTGAGGACCTTGTACCACATAGCCTTGTAAATAGCAACTTGGAAATTCAATATAGAGACTACAATACTTGGCCTTTACACTTAGCTTTGTTAATAGAATACTTAAGTGTGTCTAAATCCTTTTTTGTGCAATCACTGTAAATGCCAATGTTGCTAATAAATTCTAATATATTGCCAACTACCTTCACAATTTAACCTTTTATGATTTTCCATTTACATATGGTGGCATTCGATTTACATTTTATGCCTATTTAATTTAAATTCATTAATTATTCTAGTATATTAATGTTGAACAATACTGATGTTGCATATTTCAGTGAAATATCTCTTACAATATTAATAAAATAGACAATCATACTTATATTCACATCACCATATAAACCTTAAACATACTGACAATAATGAGAAAAATAAGTTTCAAATGCAAAAAACACTTGTTATTAAATATAATATTGAAATAATTAAACACTACAGAATATTAGTAATCAAAAATGTGCAAATTGACACAAAAGTATTCATAGTAATAATCCAAACAATAATGAAAACAATTTAAATCCAAACAATAATGAAAACAATTTATGCTTTTAAGTAGTTAGTACCCATTACACTTTTTATTTTATAAGAACACATTTTATAAGAACACCGAGGCTGAAATTGCTTAAAAATTAAGAACAAAATAAGAACAAATTGAGGCTGAGGTAAAATGTTTAATGGGATTTTTATTTTTAAAAACTAGAAAAACCAAAAAAATTATATCTGTACCTTATGTGCAGTAGGTGTGACTATGTAATACCCTCTATAATACAGTACAGTAAGTGTACCTACCTGTCATTTGGGGCCATTTTTATCTGGGGACATTTTTTCAAAGGCCATTTTTCCCACGGCCGCTTTACCTACATTACAGTGTATATATAAACAGTACTGGGTACAATAATAATTTTGTATAATTTGAAAAGTGTGTAACATAAGAACAAAATAAGAACATTTTGAGCCTGAAATCGGCCAAAAAATAAGAACACTGAGCCTGGGCAAAATTTTACTGGTTCTTATAAAAAAAAAAGTGTATAACAAAAATGATACACCTGATTAGTAATATGCTGATATTTGCCTAAATATTCTCGATATTTGTGCATTCTATTCCCTGATTTCAAACTTGATTGCTAATTTTTTTAACCTCTGACTCTTCTAAATCAAATCAAGAACCTTTGTAAAGGCATTAATCTGACATCCACTACAGTACACCATAAAAATCTCAATTTATTCTAAAAGCTAAAGAATACATCTCCAAATCCACACTAATCAATTGATACAAATATTATCAAGAACTTTGCTCTTCTGGATTTAATCAGTTTTTTTTGTATCATATCCATTTCCGTTGTCTTCCTCATCAACACGCATAAGTTCAAGTGAAACTGTAACAACAGCAAAAGTTGCAGCATTAACTGGAAAGGCACGTAGTAACGTGGATCCAAGTCCACGTGTAAATACTTTTATTCCTTCTTCCTTCATTCCACTACGTACACAATCTAACGCTCCACTGAATTTATTTTTACCATGGACACCGTCGGCCTGAATCCTTGTTTTTATAACATCAATCGGGACGGAGGTCATCCACGAAGTCATGCCACTAAAACCCCCCGCAAGTAATAGTTCCCATACTCTTAGGTATTCTTGGTTGGATATGTCCAAAAACATTTGACAGTATGTTTGAAAAGCGGTGAAATAAATAGCATAACCAAGTGAATCTCGAAAGACGGTCAGACCAAATCCTCGGAAACAACCTCTAAATCCTTCTCTTTTGAAAATTTTGATTATAGCATCGACGGAGTTCTTGTACTCCTTGACGTTATTGCCATTTCCATAACCCTGAAGTTGCAAACGTGTTTTAGCAAGTTCCATTGGACTACATACAAATGACTGTAAGAACCCGGCCGTTCCTCCAGCAATAAATTGAGTACGAAGAGTTTCTTTCTCAAATAGTCTCACAATGTTTCCCTGCACACCAAAGACTATTGCGTTGATGAAAGCAAGACCAAGCAGGGGGGACGACATTCCTTTGAAGAGACCAAAAACCTGTAATATTAAATAATAGTAATACAGATAACAATAATAGTAATAAATTGACAATAATTTAATACGTTTTACTCCATATATAGAGGCTGTAAATAAAACAAGAATACTAATTTTTTAAAAATTTAAGGACAATTTAAGGTCTTGAATGGAAAGAGAAAACGAAAATGGAAGGTGGGAAAAGAGGTAAATGCAAAGGAAAAAAAAAATGAAAAGAGATGCATAGGTCAGGGTATTAAGCATACATTTGAAGTCCAGAATAAGACGGGAAAAGGGAAAAACGAAAGAAAAAGAGCAAGCAAGCACAATATATAAAACATGCCAAAATGTGAATCATTGTCACACAAAATTTTTTAAAAAGCATAAATATTTTGAGATGTAAAGAACTTACGGACTCTTTTCGTACAATTGTTGAGAAGCAGTTTATGATTCCTGAGTACCTGGGATTCTGATAGCTCTGAGCCTGTAGCCTTACCTACAATCATTAAAAGGAGCATTGATCATTCTTTAGCATAAAATAAAAAACAACACTGCCACTAACAACATCCATGTCTAGATATTTTCCACTATGAATACTCCCCCAAAAAGGCTAGGTATTCACTTGCCTTCCTTTTTGTCAGTCTGCTTGTTCGCAAGATTACGAAGAACTAAGGAATGGATCATTATACTGTACATAATTGAATGGCTTAGTGGTTAAGATGCTTGCCTTCTAATCCCAGGGTCCTGGGTTCAATTCAACAGGACTTTTTTCACAACTAAAAATAACTCAACTCCCTAAGCCCAATAAAGATTTAAAAAAAAGAAGGGTTCCTTAGAAATCTGGGAAACCAGAAAATTTCTGGGAATTGGGGTCTGCGAAACAAATGTATGTAGTTATTTATTTCTATTTAGGTAACATAGTTAAGTACTGGTACTACTGTTTATTGGCATTTGTTAACATTCTAAAACCTGCACTATAGTATAATCTAGTGCACATACTGGTACTGTTAATTCATAGTACAGTATTTCAATTGCTCCATTTTGTTTTCTATTCTTTTCTTCATTATCTAGAACAAACTGTTAAAGTATAAAAACTGGTACTTAGTTTAGTTCTGAAAGGTTTTTTTTTTACAAACAAACATAAACTTGATTTTGTGCATTCAATGAATGCAAGGGGTCATCAATTTGTTAATCATTTTTAAGTGAGTGCAATACTACTTTTTTCTGTGACCAAAAATCCCCTCCCCTGATTAAAAGAGTACACAATAAAGTGATTGTTGTCATTTTAAATCATAATTTTTCCCCAGCATATATTGTTATTTCTTGTGAAAAGTACTATAACTAGAAATTGCAAATTGCAAGCGAAGTGCTGCGAAGTACAACTGCATATAAATGTTCTTCAAACAAAATTATTTATGTGAGTCAAGTGAAAATAACGAATAATAAAAATATAACAAATAATATGAGACACGACCCATTGTCTATATTAGAACAGCGTTGGTACTGTGTACAATAGTGTTTTGCTGCAGTGACATCTCGCTGCTGGCGACTCGCTGCTGTTGGCGATGACTCGCTGCTGGCGAATCGATCTGCGCATGTGTATAAAATGGTATTTATTTCCGAAAACACTGTGTATGCCAGTCTACAACAAGCGTCGCCTAAATGTAATAATTAGCACGTTGAAATAGGCTAGTAAATAAGTTTAACTGGGTTCGTAAATAATATTGGCCTCAAAATATTGTGGCTGAGACTTGGGCCGATTAAACGTAGAAATGGAAACCTAGAAATATAGTAAAAACGCTGAATAGTAATACTCCAGCGTCGCGACATGCGGACGTTGGTACGAGTAGGTTAGTCTTCAAACGTTGCCTAAAGTAATTGATTTTACCCGGCAGAACGAAAGAAGGAAACTCGGCTTCTCAGTTGTCTTAGGCGCTCGTTTTTTGACAAACAATGACCTTTCAGAGGTCAAATTGCTGTCAAGAATATGAATTGGCTGCTTCGCAGCAATGAAAGAGTATATTGTGGAGAAAATGATGCACTTAAATATGTATATGTAGCAAATAGATAAATAAAGATCTTAATCACTTACTTTCACAGTATCAAATGGATGGCCAACCAACACCCCTGCAGCCCCTAAAAAAACAAAAGATTTCAATATGTTATGGGCTAAGAATTCTAATATAATATCACTATTTTGCATATAGACATTCCCAGTAAAATTTCAGTCGTTAAGAAAAATCTGATTTTTATATGTTATAGAGACTTAAAAATATAATAATACGAAATTGCTAGTTTAACTGAATTTATCCACACCTAAAGACTTTAGTGGTTCCACACAAAAAATTAATGCGGATGAATTTTTATGTTTTGATTTTGTGCTAGGTCTGCGAAAAAATATAGTAGGCACCGGAAACATAAGCCTATCCAAGACTGCTAGATTAGGCCTAGCGTTACCTCGATTTAAGTTCTGTTATCAGACATAAAAACAGCCGACATGATATTTTCCATTGCTAGTACTGACACTTGTGATATATAATATTTCATTAAAATTATTTTATTCTGACAGAGATTTTGCAATGCATATGCATTTTTTGTATAAAAATTCTTTTTCTAGTAAAATTTTACTGAGAATGGGGCTTTCAGGCTGAGGTAAGAAAAAGTTTGATTATTGCACCTCTAGATGGCAGGAAATGGCACCCAGAATTGAAGCTTGGGTTAAAGCGCCATATAAATCCAACTATTATTATTATTATTATTATTATTATTATTATAGTAACAAACACCCTTTTGGGTGAGGGTGCTAGATTAAGGACCATGTAGTTAGGGACTCCTTCAGAGAGGGTCAGTACCACCTCAGCCCAAGAGGTAAGAATATTTACGATTACGGCACCTTTACAGTAGATGGCTGGAAATGGCACCCGCATGTCATGTTTCATTTGCGCGAACTCTTGTGCCACAGACTCACTAGGCCTAATTTTACTGGGAAAGGCAGGCGGAGAGCACGTGGTCAGGATATAGATGCAACAACGATCGAGAGTTCACTCGCGATACCAGCTAGCTCCGCAGTGTTTTAACCTGGAGGTCACATTTCACCTGATAATCGCTTTTTGTGTTGTAGCTAAAAAGTGCACAGCCAAAATCAGTTATTTGCCGTTCAAACACGCTATCCATTGCATGTTTTTAATTGATTTTTTTAATCGATTTTTTTGAACTGGTCCCATTTCTACTGCGAGAAAAAAAATTTTTTTTCTTAAAAAGCGATTTTTAATAAATTTTTTCTTCCAAGTAGAAACAGGCCCATAGTTTGGTGATTGACCTACATGTACCAAAGAATTTTAGATTAGCTAGAAAACTGTAGGCCTACTGTGTTTATATAAATTGTAGGTGTTTCGTATTGTCCAAATTGCCAGTGTAATATTGGATAATAAAAGTTACCTTATAAATCTAATAGTCTAATCTAATATCTGATTATATGCAAGGATCACATGAAAGATTTTAGCTATTTCTGAAACTTATTCAGAGTACTTTTGAACAACTGTTCTTAGTGTATAACATATAAATCAATAATGATATGCGTACAGTAGTAGTGTCAGAAGGTCACATTATTAACCTGTGACTGACCTATGTATCCAATAATAATAAATTAGCTAGGAAAATGTAGGCTTACTGTGTTTATGTTAATTTTAGGTGTTTATTGTCCAAATTTCCAGTGTAATGTTGGACGATGAAATTTATCCTAAAAATCTAATAATAGATCTCGACAAATGGAGCTGATTTTATGCAAGGCTCACATGAAAGATTTTAGCTATTTCTGAAATCTATTCAGATTGCTTTTCAACAATTGTTCCTAGTGTATATAACATATAAATCAATTTGATGTGTGTAGTAGTGTCAGAAGGTCACATAGTTATCTGGTGATTGATTTGAATGTATTGAAGAATTACAGATTAGCTACAGAGTAGTATTGTACCAGTGTGTGGTGAGGTTTACTGTACTACTATACCACCAGTCAGTATCCACAAAATGTACTACAGAATATTCCAGCCCAAGCCTCCCATCTCCATTCGACAAACACCCTAGGCTTTTTTTTTTTTTCATTTATTTCCACCAACAGTGAAGAATTGCCACTTAGAGGTAAGAAAATAAGTATATATATCTATATTAAAAATATGGAAATACAAATAAACAAACATGGAGGGAAAAGCATCACCAAGGCAACACACATACACACACTCATCAGTTTCCTCTAATATAGTATTATACCAAACTAAAATGTGTTTTCCAACTGCAATTTTTACTAAATAAAATTGTATAATGTATAAATATTTTTTTTAATGCATGAGATTTATTGCAATATGTGCCTATTAAATCAAAGCAACAAGGAGCTTTGATGTACACGTTATAGATAGGAACAGCTGGCGAGTCAAATCTCTGGGCTCTATAGCTACTTCAAACTCATATAATGTGACGACCTAGAATTTAGAAATAGAATAGTATGTTCACACCTGGGCTGCAGGGAATAACAGTACGCTCATTACGTCTATAGATTAGTTAGTAGACAGCATATAGAGAATGGTAAAGACATTTGAGGGTTGCATACAAAGTACTGTATGGTTGAAATTTTAACTGAAGGAACAAAGAGGAGTTTTTCTTGTATTTACATTCACCTTGCCATTTAGATATAACCAATCTTACAACTATACTGTACAAAAGATACAAAGACATAAGATATATTTTAAAATATAGAAACTTGCAGTTTGGCACACATACTATCATATCATTATCACTAAACCTATCTTTGTTGTAAAATAATTTATTGTAATTTGTATTGCATTGTATTGTAATTGTGGCATACTGAAGCAATAAATTGAATTTAATATCATAAAGAAAAATTTGGTAACCAAGGCAACACCTGGGGTTATTCATACATCCCATTGGCCATAGAGGGTCTGAAATGTCAAAGACAATTTAAATGTCAATATTTAACAATTTTTTTCTCATTTTTCTTTAGAATATTTTTTTACTCATATCCTTTGAAGTTCAACAAATTAAAATAAATACTAAGCAACATGTGTTGCAATTGATAATAAAGTGGATAAATATTGCATTCAAGTACAGTACTTCGTAGCAGGAAGGGTTAAAACAAGTTGTGGGTTGACAGTATGAGAAATCCAATGTTGCATGCATACATCGCGTCGACAAGTTCGGTTCTCAATATGATGCCTTCTATTTTACGCATGCATAAAGGCAATAGCATTTGCTGGGAACAGAAATCACCCGGCCAACCATTTGTTCACACTGATGCTGAGTGGTCACCGATATCAATCACTAGTGACCGGGAGGGGTAGATCTCTACATAGTTTCTATTCCTCCGCCATTAGGGCATTGAACAAGTCACTTCAGTAGTTTGAATTTTCATATTTTATGTTTGTTTTTTTGTTAGGGAACCAGACCGAATTTCATTGTATGTGTATAGTACGTGTATATATGACAAATAAATCTATTGAGTATTGAGTATTGAGTATCTATGGCCCGATTTTGGTAGAAATACAAGTTTGTTTCGGACTTTATGTTCTAAAATGTTAATTTCGAAAGTGGTATTTCTCGATTTTTTACTTGAGTGAAGGGGAGACTTGAAGAAAATTTCAACAAAAAAAATTTTTTTTTTGGAAAATTTCTGTCGGTTGCAGAGGCCAACACAAACTTTTTTTTTTTTTTGGCCTTATGGTGTACCAAAAGTTTTATATATTTTATTATCATTGATGCAAATGATGTTAAAAAAAACTCCATCAGAATTATTACTGATACTTGCCATACAAACTGTCAAGGAATAAAATAGTGTTCTTGTAAAGCTTGTAAGGTGAAAGGGTAAAAATCAGAAAAAAAAAAAAAACCACCATTTAAAATAGAACTGAATGAAGATTAAAGAATAAATAGCTTCCTGAGGAAGTGAATGAGTGTGGTTGGTTTATACAAGAATTATTCTGACCACTTTAACAAGGCCAAGTCCTATAAGGTACAACAGGAATCTTTTGGTTTTTACCCTTTTCTTTTCTGCTGCTGCGTTGATTTATTTCTATTAATTGTGGTATTTTCTAGAATATATATCGTAATCATTTGCACAATTTTGGATTCTTTTAGCAAGCAATATTTCTTAGTTGCTGGACTAGCATTGTGGTAATTTACATACCGTACATAATTTGGCCCGTGCCGATCAAGTTTGGTGACATTACCAGCACAGAAACACGATTTGAAAAAGTTTGGTCATGAAACTATGTTTCCTATATCTTTTTTATAGTCAATGTTAAAAAGAATTAAAGCTATGAAAACATTTTAATTCGTTTTAAAAGAATGCATTCAGGCATATCACAATTTTACAATCTAGTTGAATGATTTACACCTATTTGCTTCCTGCCCTACTCACTTTTACAGTTCAGTATACATCCCCACATCCTTCAAGCTGATAACTATGCTACTCCATCAAATGTTCATGAATGAGCATATTCAAGTTTATAATTAGGAATTCTCTTCCTCATCATTATGTAAAAAGTCAATAACTTGGCATCTTCGTTAATGTGGTATTACTGTAATAATATGTTGCACTTACTGTATATAGCGCTTAGGGCCAATGAGGCTTTAATTAAGCACTTCATATTATTACCCCCCCCCCATGAATGAGCATATTCAAGTTTATAATTAGGAATTCTCTTCCTCATCATTATGTAAAAAGTCAATTTTTACCAATCAATGTTGAGAAGAGAACTGCAACTGCTGTGCCAGACGGCTCCTATCTAGTGTTCAATATTCTAAAAAATAATTTTAATATTACTGTTTTTCGTAGTTTGTTTAAAGTTCCTGTGCTGTTTTTTTTTTTTTTCCTAACTTGTGTATGCAACTTAAAATACAAAAAGAAATCTATTTCTATGAAGTTCTATGGGTTGAAAGGTTAATAACAATGAACCTTTATTGGTTTTACCTTGATATCAATTGTAATCCCAAAAAAAAGCTAATCCCACAGAGAGGTGGTCCGACAAGAGTCAAGTTAACAATAAGCAGTGAAGAATTAATGTGTAGGCACAGATTTTCTAAACTGACAGTATATTATTACTAAATGTATTGTAATATGGTAAGCTGGTATGTGCTACGAACAATATTGTAGAGTAGCAGATGCAGTTAAACAGTTATTGCTTTGCCCTATTTCACACTACACACAATTCTTAGCAAATAGTTTTGCCAAACACATCCCGACCGAGAGGGGAAAAAATTATGTTGAATGTAAACAGTGTAGTAATGGGATGGTTAAATGCTTTAAATTTATATAAATAGGAAGAAATTATTTTTGAAAATTTCAAGGCAGCAGCGGGCATAATAAAATATTTTTCTGAATTTCCCATTTTTTGCAGTGTTGTGTGCGCTAATTGGCCAAAAAGAACATTATATTTTTAATCAAAATTATCAAAATTGAAGGGCGGTGGGTTCGTGAAATAAGGTATAAAGAAGTCTCGCCTTAGCTACTAATCTAAATATATTGTTATCAGTGGAATCAAAATCAGTAAAATTAAACAGCATTATCTATTAATAAATGGTATACTACTGTAAAAGTAATATAATTTGATGTAACACAATTGTGGGCTTTGGATTTACAATTGCAATGTATTTCTTTAAAGTGTAATATCAAGCTTTTAATGGACTGCAGTTTTGGAAAGAATAGAACTAAAGTTTCTATCTTTAAAGATAAACTCTATTTATATTGTTATTTAGGAATTTATGTTGCGAAGTTACTGGTTTACTTCTTGATAAATCTTTATCGCTTTAATTACTAAACTGGTTGGTATCTTTAGGTAGAAAGACAGGGGTGGATTGCTATAAAACGTTCGTAACTGGTAGTCCTAACTCCTCGAATAAAGCCTGCTTTATCACTTAGACGGTCTTACTAAAGTCACTCTGCTAAGACCATTGCTATAAAACAGTCTTTGCTTAGACCGCTTTGAGTACTGAAACAAACAAGCACTCCCTGGTAACAAATTGAGGGCACATTTATGCTTGTTCAAAACATGCATATTTATCAAAAGGAACGTAGACCGGTTGTTACAGACACTGAGAAGCTTGCAGAATATTCGTTGTTTGATTCTTAGTTTTTGATGATCTAGGCCTAGGTCTAATACCTGTAACACCATGATGAAAATGATTTAAGACCGTTTTAAGACTCTTCCGTGTAGGCTTTAAAATTTAAGACGGCTAAGTGGTTAGACCAGGGTATAGCAATGGTCTATAATCGTAGACTAGTGGCGACGTCCTGATTAAAGCCGCCTAAGCGTTAAGACCGTCTGAAGACCACTTATAGCAATCGGCCCCTGGTATTAATTTGTATGACTCTCACATCATAAAGTACACTGTATGGTGCTGTATTCTGTAAAATAAATTCTACGCAGCTAAACCAACAACAAATATTTATGTCAAATGTTTTATTCTTATATGAGCTACCTATATAATTACCAGATTAAATGATGATAATCTATACTGTCATAAGCATAACAACAAATATTTATGTCAAATGTTTTCTTATATGAGCTATACCAGATTAAATTGTTTAATGTTGATAATCTACACTGTAATAAGTATAACAATCTGGTTTATCAGCCCAAATGAGTTTATACTTTAACAACTGGTATCATGGTATCTTAAACACAATGTTGACTTCAACCAAATTAGTAAAGTGTATCATTGTTCAAACTTTACAAATCATGCAATTTGTAAATACACAAATACATGTAGGGATAATATTGGACTTCTTAAGCAGTACAGCAATATGATTCTAGCTAGATTTTAAATCCTTAAATAATTATAAGTACTTAAGCAGTACAGTACAGTAATAGGATTCCAGCTAGATTTTAAACTCTTATAATTATAAGTACTGTAAGCTTAAGCATGAGATTCTACACCTTAAGCATGAGATTTTACACTTTAATAAGTATGAGATTCCACACCTTAAGCATGAGTTCCTACACCTTTAGAATTACCTAAAGTAAGATTGTACAGTAAACAGAGATAGTACCTTAAAGCTGGGCACTCACAGCGCTAGACGATCATCGGCCGACAAGATTCTATGGAGAACGCAGAGCCAAGACATGCACATCACAGATCTTTTTTAATGGTGGTTCGTTCACACTGCCACCAACATTCAGCATATGGTTTCGCATCGTCTATCGCTCATAGGGAGAGGAGTTGGATGCAGTGAGTGCCCTGGCTTTAGCATGAGATTCTATACCTTTAAGCATGAGATTCTACACCATAAACATAAGAGTCCACACCTTAAACATGAGTCTGCACCTTAAGCACAGGATTCTACACCTTAAACAGAGGATTCTCTACACTTTAAGCAGGAGATTCTACACTTTAAGCAGGAGATTCTACACCTTAAGCATAAGATTCTACACCTTGTTAAATGCTACATTAACCTGTTGTTTTGCAAACTATCTCTTTTTTTTTTAACTTCAATTCAAATCCAACGGCTATACAGTAGAAGCAGGCTGTCAAAAGAATGGAATACACTGGAACGACAACAACATAATGATATACAAAACAAACAACATAGAATGCTAAAAAACTCCATTGCTGTGCATTAATAAACAGCATGTCAGCATAATCCATGTTGCGAGTCAACAGCCTGGTTTCAAGTTCAACATACAGGATGTATGATGTTCGATATGAAACTGCAAGTTATGACTGTGATCAGAGATCACGTTGACATCCGAGGCCATGATAAGACATCAGGATCTTTGTTGGTTTGAATTTAACAGACTCTGTCCACACTACCAAATTTTCTTTGACAAAAAAACTTTTAAATGCCCATATATAGTAATGACGTGCCTATATATGGTCACGATGTAATGCCATCGTGACCATATTTAGGAATCATGTTTGATAGTCTCGAAGGGGCTTTAAACAACTTATACGCAAGGTCCTATAAAAAATATTATTAGTTTATCACCCTATCTAGGCTGGAAAAGTGATGAGGGAGGGAGGAGTTTTTTTATTTTGCTAAAGCCAAATATCACCCTTGGGTTGTTTGCTGGTGCATTGATATTCAAAGTAAAACATGATTGAGATAATACAAACAATATCTACTACCTATAATTATTTAATTAAAAAAATGAAAAGAATAATTTGTTTAAAACAAAAATTATCAAAACAATTTTTTCTTTCAGTACCATAGAAGACATGATTATTATTATATTATTAATTTGAGAAATATTGATGCAGAAACAACAAAAAATTTTTGTGACTGAAAATACCAGTTTTTATACAATATTACACTATTCTTGCCAAATAAAAACAGTCCCTCCCTCATCAATAAAGAAAAAGCAATATTCTATTGTTTCGATTTAAAAAAAAAAAACGCTGCCCTCATCACTTTAAAAAAAAAGTGATAATCTAATAATTTTTTTATGTGCCTGATGTGGCACTCTGTTGCTTGTTGATTATAATAATTTACTGTATATGACTAAGCAGATTGTCATAATATAAAAACCATTGGTTGCACACATCTCGTCGCATTTTATTCTTCGTGGAATTACGTCAGCCGACGACGGTGCACTGTGTTTCCGCTTAAACATGCTAAAAATTATTTTTATCTTTATTTAAAATAATCTTCAAAAGCATGCCTCAGTTTGCGAAACAGGGTATAAAAGTTTGGACTAGCTTTAAAAAGCCTGGATGTCTTAAATGCAGTTTTATGGCAATGCATGAAAGTAAAATAATTCCGTATTTCTCACAATAACCATGTAAAATGTATTTTAATACTTGTAACTTACCTCCAAAACAGCCAGCAATAAAATCGTGAGCCATGGTCATTCCGCTGTACCAGCGATTTATCACTGTAAACTTTTCTCAGAAAACAAATTAAAATTAATAAATTCTTGTAAAAATAGTGGATTCCTTAAAGCTGTAATTTCACTCATTGACTTCATTACCTTCACTGCTAATGTCTACACCAATAAAGTTCTGAGTATCGCTAGTCAAATAGCCTACTCCATCCAGGCCAAGAAGTAAGACCAAGTTGATCTATAAATTATGTAATAATCAGGGGTCAAGTCTCGATCACATCACGACCAACAAAGGCTGTCACCATGTAATGAATCAACGTATACTGTAACTCACTGTATATGAAAAATAATTAATTCAAGTAACCATGTTCCTTTGTTCAGTTATATATTCTGCAAAAAGTACTGCACGTTTTGATTGCTTGACAAAAATGAGTCATTGACATAATACCTTGCGGTATAAAACGATGCGTCCATCATTGCTTCATCTTTTGTAGGCATCGTCCACGGAGGTACACAATTGTCATCCGGTACCGGTATTGTGTGGGTGTCACTGTAGCCTAACTTAACCGGGCCTACCTAGCTAGGCCTTAGCTGCTAGCAGCTGATCATCACAGTAAGAAGAATCATATTCGCACTCCTCCGATCTTTAAAATTAAAATTGTTAATAATCTTGCACCAGTATACAAAAAGCGGTCTAATGCATACGATTTAATTTAGTACTTCATATTTAATACATAGGCCTACGTTTAAAATTCGCCACACTGCGTCAATAAACAACAGCTGTCTCAGGCGGTCGTCTTCTGGAGTGGTGGAGATTCGATCAATACACAGCAGCACATGTGCTCTCGTCGCTTACGTGCGCAAACAGCGCCACCAGCCAGACGTTCATTCAGTAATTATTTATTTTCATCTTCTATTATCATTCATCATTACCATCATCATGCCGAATTAACAATATAAGAATAATTTGTACTATCATTACATTTTTTAATTCGATATATTAATGATGGTACCCGTATTCTTGAACATGAAAACACTGTACCACTTGTTTGTGTATCGTAAGTCAGTGTAATGGTATGGTTATGTAGACCATGTACCGGTAGCCTATACATTTTACTTTCGTTTTTACATATAGGCCTAATTTCTGTAAATTGTGCTTGTGCTGGTGTATTTTTTAAGCTTTTAATTAAATGTCTTTTTTTGTAAGCTAAACCAAGGGCGCAAATCTCTTTCGTGACCCACCTCAGCCCCACCACGGTTGGGGCTGTGAGGTGGGTCCTAAATTCATCATCACCATTATTTCTCATGTCTTATATTTTCCCAAAACGTGGCCAACACTAGATTGTTTTGTGGGGGGGGGGGGGGGGGGGGGGAATACTCCTCCACCCTTCCTCCACTGGCGCAGCTATTGTAACATTTTGTTGACTGAAATAAAGTTTACTAGTCTGTGGGTCCGGAGGTTTACAGGAAAATTATACTTTTATTATGCATTGCAGGTACGGAGTACAAATGTCTTTAGAAATAACAATGTTATTATGCAAGGGCGTCGGAAGCGGTCCGGCTGGTCCGGTGTTGGCCGGACCAATAATTTACAAATCAATATCGTTTGTAAGCCAAATTCTACTTTCTCTGACACAATCAAACATAACCTGCATATTAAAATTTGGAGGGGGCCGGCTGAGACCTCCCTCGAACCTGCCACTTCCCAGTGGTGAAACTAGGTTCCGATGGGCCCCTTTTGTGTGTCATCAACAGATTAAGAATGCTATATCTAGAAAAATAATGACCAAGTCACAATTAGTTTTTAAAATAATATGAAACAGTGTATTGCAAAAATTATACAAAAATAAATTGTTCAAAATTTCTTATCAATTCCATAATTATATGAAATGAGATATTTATTCCTCAATGAATGAATAAATAAAGTGCAAGAAACACGAACACATCATATAATGCAATATGAATAACAATGACTAGGTCTACTATATTTATACAAGTTGACGGATGTTGTGAAATACCTAAAAAAGATTCTAGATACAAAAACACTTTATTGTCCATTTTAAAATTAGTTTTTTCTTTGCAACAGTCTTGGTTAAGAAAAATAAAATTACATTAAAAATCACACGACAAAACAACTTCGCAATGACGAGAAAGTTAAAATAGTAAAAAGTCTAAATAAAGATCACTGTTTAAAATTTACTATGTGTATCTCAAAAACAGACCAGCCATTTTAGTAAAGATTAAAACTAAACCTAGCATTTTGCTATAAAATAATGACAGCATGCTAATTAAATAAAAACATGTGTTATGTATACACAGGATACAGTATGCATATATTCCTCCATAAATAAATGAAAATGCAAGAACAGGAACAAAATTATATTACCGTATATAATGCAATATGAATAAAAATGAATGTGCGCCTATTATATTTATACGAGTTGACGGACATTGTGAAAAACATACGGCACCCTATAAAAAGATGTAGCCTAAATAAATTAACATGTATGAATACACAGGGACACAGAGTACAATATGATATGCATTATATAGTAAACCTATTAAATGTCTTTTGAATTAAGCTAGGTTAATACGTTAGATTTTCAAATAACAGACTGGTAGTATAGAGACAATAACAATCATAATATTATTCATTATACAATTAATACAAATAATAGTCATCAATTTTTTTGCAGATATACCGGTATAGGCTCTATACATAGGCCTACGGTAAATACGACTTTGGAGGAAATACGGTACCGGGAGACGCGGAATACAACGGAAGAGCCACCTTTATGCTGCGGTTGTGTTTTTTATGAATGGTTCTCCGCTGTATCATGTGTCCTTGGTTTCCATAAATTCGTTTATCAGCATCGTCCATTCATTATTAAACTTGGATCAATTAGACCACTTTAACTTGACTCTTTCAGTGCCCTTATGAATTGTGGTTTTTTGCGCAGGAAATGAAGGATTTGGCCACACGTCCGAGGTCTGCTGCCCAATGTGGGTGGAACATTTTGCTGCATGTATTATACTCTACTATTTTACCAATTATTAAATGATATTAGGGGCTATATAGACATAAATATATATAGTTGATACTCAGATACTTTATTTCGTCTATACAAATTTGTTTTCCGCCAGCTTTAAACAAATACGATTCAACACAAAGTAGTAATAGATAGGTCACCTTAAAAGACATTTAAGACTATCTTTCTATAACTGACTGATATATATATATATATATATATATCCCCCTAGGTTACCACCACTAAGGGCTATAATTCAGAAGCATATGCCCATTCTACAGACCACAGAACGTCTTAGGTCTGTTTTTCCGGATACACCGTTCATAGCCTATCGCAGACCACCTAACCTTCGTGATAT